TAGAATGGATGTTCTAAAGAAACAACAACCCGTTCCCTGCTTGTCATCCCTGAAACAAATTTTTGCAATCTTGGAAACTTTAGAACCCATGTTGCTGAAATCCATTACAAATTGTCAAATTGAGCTATGATTTCCTTTTTTGACATGATGGAATATCAAAACCGGTGTTCCTTAAAACGGAATGTCCAAAATTTGGTATTCAAACCCCATGTTCCTGCTTGGAATGCTTCCACCAAAGTGAAAAAAACCCATTTTGAGCTCAAACTCTTTGTGTTCTAAACGTTTTGCATACCTTTAGTGAAACCCATGTCAGGATTTGAGAGGCAGTGAAGTGCCTCAGACAGTAGTATTCTGGACAAAAGTGGAATGTTTAAAAAAAAAAAAAAAAAGGCAGGGTGAAATAGTCTGGTAGTAAGGCAGAAGATAACCAGAGAATGAACTCCAGCTTAATTCTGAGGAAGGAAATACTTATACCTTTAGTGAAACCCATGTCAGGATTTGATAGGCAGTGAAGTGCCTCAGACAGTAGTATTCTGGACAAAAGTGGAATGTTTAAAAAAAAAAAAAAAAAGGCAGGGTGAAATAGTCTGGTAGTAAGGCAGAAGATAACCAGAGAATGAACTCCAGCTTAATTCTGAGGAAGGAAATACTTTCAGCAGATTGGCTCACCTCATACAGGCTTGGGTAAGTATGTGGCAGAGCACTGTTGCCTGTTTTCATTTGTCTTGAAAATAGAGCCAGAGAGAAAGTGGGGGAAATGTGTTGAAAAAAACATGAATGTGAAAAGGACTGGGGAATTATTAGCAAGAACTCATGTGAGCTAGACTGTAAATAACAGCCAGGTCCACAGTCCGCTCATGGAGTTGATGTTGCATTCATTTTCTGCTTGTGGGGTTTTTGTAAACATCCACCAGACCTCTGTGGAATAGAAAGTTGGACTGGATTGGCCTCTTAGGGATCAAAACTGTATCTGGCTTTAACTCCAGTTTTACAGTGCATTCGGAAAGTATTCAGACCCCCTTCACTTTTTTCAATTTTGTTATGT